CATTTAAGACTAATGTGGGAGAAAGATTGAGATACTGCCCAGTTCATTGACTGAAAGCACAAAAGCAAAGTGAGGCATTTTTAATGACGGACTAATGCTTAAGTCATCGAGGCACGTTGTCAGCTTGTGGTGGCAAACCTCAGCTAGAGCAACGAGAAATTGATTGTTCGAGGTAGATCCTTGAGAAACAATGCAAAGAAAAATTGCTGCGTAGAGCAAGCCCTTTGACAAGCGCCGTTTCTAGGAATAAACTGTCAACGTAAGAGTTTAATTTATAGACCTAGCATAACCTCAATGTTCTGGGATAGCTATCGCGTAGTATTGTTCAAATTTTGCCCGTAATCATGACATTTGCATTTCTTACACTGGATGTACTCAGTACAAACACGTCATCTCTTCGCTTCTGGTCTCCATGGGGATCATTTAAGCAGGCCATGACTCAGAGGTATTTGAGCATCTGCGCCAAAGTATTTGTCTCTAGATAATGGCAGATTCAGTTGGTGTTATGACGCGCTCTTGTTCAATCGAACTCAAAGATGCTGGCCTGTATCCGTTGCACTACAGGTACTCAAACAGCCTGGAGCCGTATCCTGCTTAGACGATTACCATGGGCAAGAGGACAGTGCGCTTGCGCTGAGTAAATCCGGTATTAGAAGTCGAATTGTAGTGAATTTAAGATACATTTTTAAAGCGATTTTCTACCTTAGTATTTTCCTGCAAATTTCGTTCAACACAGTTTAGACACTGCCGTGTTTTCGATCGTTCCATTTCAGCATAAAAGGACTTCCTGTCTTTAAGGTTTTAGATTCAGATTGGTTACTTAATTTCTTGCTGCAACTATTCTATAGGTGTTTAGACAACTGCATCATGGTTAATGCATATTCAAGAGAGAATGATTGGTTGAAGGCAGAAGAGTGTCCCCGGATTAGCTAAAGACGAAGTGGTAACAACTAATTCTGTCAAGGAGACAGTACTATGCATTACTGAGTGATATTCTTTCACGCGTTTCTGAAACAGGTCGACTTGTTTTTTATTTGTAAGACTATTTAGGGTTCGTGGGCAGTGCGTAATAACATTACATTTGAACTTAGCGACGTCTGTTTCGTGGGTCGCCTTCGTTTGGTAGTTGTGTTCGAAAACTTTTCGGCAGTTTCAATTGTTCATGAACAGCCGTTGGTGCTACCGAAGTTCCGCATGGGTCCCGTCATGCAAAGCATGCCGTACATAAACAATACCAGCAAAATGGCCATCGCCAATTTCGCCTGGAAGCACCCGTTTGGTAAGAGCCCTTTGCGATTCCTATTCTGGCAGCGAATCATCTTTCTCTCATAGGATACGAAAACAAAGGCGTTTCTGACTATTCATATACTGTGACAGCCCTCAGTTGCAACTATTCCAGGATCGACACGTTAGAAAAGACACTGGTGTGCAAGGTATCCTTACTGTGTGCAACTTTAAATCCTGTCCTGTCGTCAGAGCATGAACGAAACCGGCGGCAGTTTGAGTATCGCCTTCCCGCCGCACCTGGTAGAGGAGGAATGCAAGTTCCGAATCAAGATTTGGGGCTTCAACATATGCGGTGAGAAAACGATGAAAAGCGCCATTAGCTACCTAAAACTCTCATGCACCGAGATCAACGGCTATCACTGTCATCACAGCAGTACGTGATATGGGAAATAACTAACCAGCAGCACAGTTTACTCATTACGTAGTTGCTGTTCCAGGTTTAAAACCAAAGTGCGTGACTCGTGTGGAAGTGGAGGCGGTGAGTGACAAAACAAGGGCAAATTTGATTTCGGCGACACTCACGTGGCAAAAACTGGAAGAGCTACCGCTGTACTTTCATATGTATTGGGGAAGAGCAGAGGTGGTGAAGAGATCGCATCGAGAAATGCATCTACACGAAAATTATGACGGCTTTCTGCCAATTCGCTCCATCCCTTGGCACGGCTCAACTTCTCTCGATGCTGCCGAGTGGACCATACGCTATGCTATCGACCAAAGGACAGCGAACCATTTAAAGATTGCCTCGGTAGGACTTTGTACTCCTCACAAGTATGAAAATGAATGCTTATTCGTTTCTG